AAAATCAAATGATTATTTAATATGATCAGATAATGAGATTGGCCACCAAATATAGCGATTATAAGCCTAATGGCTCAATTAACAGTATATACAGTACTGTTTTACTAGCACGTTAAGGTATAAGACTAAGATTGAAAAAAAAATCACTTTTTATGTTTTGCTAACTTGACTTATATTTAACTATAAACTTAGTTTATAAATATTACCAAAGAATAAATATTTCGTAATTACGAAATAATATTTCGTAATAACGAATCAATATTTCTTAATTAAGATTTTATATTTCGTTAAAACGAAATATTTTTTCTTATTGAGAATTATTATCTCTTAAAAACGAATTTAATTCCGAGAGAAAGTGTGGAAAATGTCACTTCAGGTGTTCCGTTATTTTCAACATTACTTGCAGCTATGATTTTTTTTAAGTTTTTCATTTTGTTTTCATATATGTATGCACTTACTATGGTATTTATGGTTTAAAATGAATATTTAAAAAGTATTTTGAAATGTCAAAAAATGTAATTTCAATGCCATAAACACAACACAAACCGAGACAAAAAGTGTTTTAAAATATATACTGCACCCCCGCCCCCCAATCCTCCCGTGAGGCTCCCCCACCAAAAAAAAGGCGAACCATAGAACTTAACAAAATTATAAGAATATAAGCATGTAATATGTTTATTCTACTTAAAACATTATCAGGATCAAAAACTCCTTTTGTAACCCAAATATCTACGACATCTTGGCTCTAACTCAATCTATGAAAGTTGTTTTCTGTCAATTTTCTGTACCTCAGGTTTGTATATAAAAATGTTTTAATTGAGTGTTGAGCAAACTAGGTTAAAAAATATCCAACTTACAAATTTACAAATCCTACTTTTTAAATGGTTACAACAACATTTCTGTCCCATTCTTTTATAAAATGTGTCACTTGCTGAAATGTTGAAATTAATAAAGAGACGTTTTGCAGCACATTGTGAACATTACACATGTATGCTGCATGTATAGGTTTTTGATTGTATTTGTTGTTTTCTGCCGAAAATAATATCTGCATAATTCATTTTTTTAGATTCAATTATAACTGCATTCAGGTATACGATGGATAATCGATAATATTAAAAAGTCATCTTAAACTAAGAAGTGTAAACTTATCACATTCTGAAAACAACAAATGTTTACCATCTTGTTTAAAAATAAGTGACTACATGTATTTAATTTGAAATTTAAAGTTAAAGTTAAAAACAACAACAACAATAACAACATCATGTTTTCATCGAGTCATAAAATGTCTGAAACCGGGAGATTGCTACGTGTGCTTGCTATACCATGGCAGCTCTCGAAAATTTTGGAATTCAGTCACGGTTTTGAGAAAATTCTACAAGAAGATTATCACATCGTTTGATATGCATTAGAATTCCGGGTACCCTCCAATAAATTTCCAGGATATCGTAAAGTAACAGCAAAGTTATCTATAAAAAATATTATATGTTATAAATCGAGTAATATTTTCTTTGACCATATACAAAAGTCACGTGGGTTGGCTACATAATAGAGGTGTTAAAATATAATTGTAATACACTCTTTGTTAGCCATTGAAATAGTATTTAATGTATAAAGGATTTTCAAAAACGGTTATTATTCAGAGCGGGCGCTATGGTGCAGTGGTAACACTGTCTGCCTACAAATCAAGGGGTCGTGAGTTCGATCCCCCGCTACTCCACTGAACGAATACATGACTACAAGACTGACAAAACCAGGACATAGACGCAGAATAACGGCAACGATAGAAACAAGAAAAGACCTTAACGGAACAGGAAACAAGTACCGAAAGTACAAAACCGAAGACGACGACCGATAACAGAAGGAAGAACGGAAACAAGAACTGACAACAAGGGAACAGAGACGAGGACCGATAACAGAAAGGACACGTCCACCAATAACAGAAGAGCAGAGACAGGGACCGATAACAGTAGACCTGACAACAAGCGAAGAGACAAGGACCGATAACAGAAGAACAGAGACAGGGACCGCTAACAGAAGAACTGACAACAAGCGAACAGAGGCGTCGACCGATAACAGAAGAACAGAGACAGGAACCGATAACAAAAGAACTGACAACAAGCGAACAGACATGAAGACCGCTAACAGAAGAACAGAGACAGGGACCGATAACAGAAGAACTAACAACAAGCGAATAGAGACGTCGACCGTTAACAGAAAAACAGAGGGACCGATAACAGAGGAACTGACAACAAGACAACGAAGACGAGGATTGATGACAGAAGAATACAGACGGGGATCGATAACAGAGACAGGAACAAATTACAGAAGAATTGACAACAAGAAAGGACTAACCAGGACTAATTACAGAAGAAAAGAGGCCGATGACAACAGAACGGAGAAGAACGAAGACGAAAACCGATAACAGAACAGGATAGAGACCGATAACAGAAGAACTGACAACGGAGACGAGAATTTATAATAGAAAAATAGAGACGAGGACCGATAACAGAATAACATAGGCTATGACTGATGGCAGAAGAATGGAGACGGGGATCGATAACAGAGGGGAACCGATGACAGAAGACTTGACAACAAGAAAACGGAGACCAGGTCTGATTACAGAAGACGAGAACGGGTACAGAAAAAACGGAGAAGAACGAAAACGATGACCGATAACAGAAGAACAGAGACGAGAACCGATAACAGAACATCAAAAGAACTGAGACCAGGATTGATTACAGAAGAACGAAGATCTCGACCTATAACAGAAGAACTGACAACAAGAGAACTGCGACGAAGACCGTTGTTCTGTAGAACGAAAGTTACGACCAGTAACAGAAGAACTGACAAGAGACGAGAACCGATAACAGAAGAACAAAGACGACGACCGATAATAGAAAAAGAACACCAAAACCCAAGAGAAAGGTCCTTTAATTGTATATTTTGCATGCACACGTTTTAACCCCCTCACACATATTTACGCTGTGCAAAATATAAGTAGGCATCTGAGTAGCCACTCTATATGCTTGCATAGAGTGCCAGATAAAATCTAGCAGATAGGGCAGGAAAGAGTGTAGTGTTCGCTGCGTAAACCCTAAATATGTTTAAATGCCGTTCTATCTTTAATATTACTTCTATATTACTATTATATTAGCATATAGAAAAATGTCTGCCATCTTGGATTTTTCGGCCATATTGGATTGTTTTGTTTTGTTTTAATTCGGTTTTGGTTTCTACTTTGTTTTTACCTAAACATGCTTTGTGACAAATTTCAGGCTTTTCCTTTCCTTAAAAGTTTTATTTGATATATCATCCATTTATGATAAAGAAATTTGACGGCCACTTTATTGGTCATTTTAAATGGCCATTTCAATAGTCAAGATCAAGTTTTTTAATTTGGTATCCACCTTTATTGGATTCAGCATACCTTAAATAGGTAAAATACACCAAGATACCACTTGTACTACAAAATGCCTCTAGCATCTTATAGGGAGCCAAATTCTCAAAATCAGTCCTATCTATAACAACATATCATTTGCCATGTAATTGTTTCAGTTTTTATGGATGACATTAAAGGTGTATGGTCAAATATACAGGAAAAGCAACAAAAAACATCAAATATTTCATTTGATCACCCCTTTGAAATTAAATTGCTAAAACATTCTGCATTTTACTCTTCTAAATTCGTGATGATAAAATGTCAACAATGTTGTTTTGTGTGTGTGTTTTTCATATAAAGACATTTGTAAACACACATTTTTGTACAAAAAAGTACTTTAACTTCGATTTCCTTCTCTTTCTAACCAATCAAACAGTACGCTAACGATTGTAATTGTTTGTATGGTCAACTGCTTTAGTTTGAAAAAAGGACAAAGGTTATATAAAACAAAAAGGAACTAAAAACTGTTAAACGATAAGCATGTGAGTTGCTTGATACTGGTTTAGATCATGGCCGTTGGATAAAATATATAAATTAAACCGCAATGTATTTGTCAAAAAGCGGAAAATTAAGATGGCCCAGGCCTGATACTAAACCCACTGAGTTAATCGAAATGTTTATACTTAACCCATCAACTCAATCACAATGTTTCGGCTAGAGCCGCTTTACTTAAAAATTACAGCAAGAAATTCATTTTTCATGTTTGTTTTTTTTACTTTATATATACGCGTGCGTATTATATAAATTAGTTTAAATCACAAGGTAATCGGTGAAGCTAATAGTACAAAAGTTTTCCCCCTTGGTATTGCATTGAAAAGGTCATATCAATTAAACGAAAATAAGAAAATATGAGAATTAGAAAACCAGACAAGCGGGTAAATGTATTTATAATAAAGATACGTAGCTATATTCATTCTTTGAATAAATTTGTTGATTTTTAAAATGATAATGAAAAAAATGTCGATGAAAGACGTATCATTGCCCGCGAAAGAAAGCAAAAAGGGGTACACATTAAAAGAAAATTCATCCTCTAACCCCTTTTAAAGATATTGCGCTTATACTTTGAACAGTAACATTAAAACCCTAAAGCATTGTTCTTCCTGTTGAAAAAGTTGAAAATGCTGTTTGCTTAGTTATACTGATTCTGGTCATGTGCGGCAACAATCGGAACACCTCGGGCGACTTCAAGTCGATCTCCGAACTTGACGGAGATTGCCGAGTTGTTACGATTGGTGCGGCAAGTTACGGCTTCCTATCGACAACGACAATGAGCACATGTCTTAGCGCAATTAATCATATCCTGTCTTCAAAAAGAGCAATGGAAACTTTAGAGAACGTCCAAAACGGCAAAATTGAAGACTGTTTCAGGCTCAGTTTTATTAATTATCAGAATGGACAGGAAATGGTATACACTCTCTACAACCCATGCCCCCCCTAGCACCGACTGGCACAGAATTCATCATTTATGATTTAACATTGTCTAAAATTAAGAAATAAAATTCAAGTCTGCCCATAGATTGAAGGTTAACATATGCCAGAATTAATTTAACTGCTAAAAAGAAATAAAACATCAACTTATAATGATTCAATTTTATTTTCCAATAATATTATACATGTCAGTCGGAGATAATACATACGGGCTACTTTTGTTGTTCACGGACTTTGCACCGCTTACAAATGTAACATTTGTGGAAACCGGTGGAGTACTGCTGACCACTTTTGTAACGGCTTTAGTACTGCTTATCCATTTCTTATCTATAACAATATAACATTTGAGAAGAAAATAACCAAGTAACAATACAAACTGTGTTCACTACAATTTACAAATTCACATAAAATTAAATAGATGCATCAAGTAGTCATGCAAATATGATACATGTACAGTCTATTCTTATAATGTCAAAGAAGAATAATGGAATTTTTCATGCCTTGGATAAAATTTATGCCAGTCTAGAATGCAATAAAAAAAATGTTGAAAATCACAATTTCAGTTTTACATAGTCTTTTCATTAGGGATAATGAAAAAGGCCCCATACCCCCCCCCCAGCACCGGCTTAATCCTGGACATTAAAACTACATGTATTAGAACAAATTATTCCTGTTTATGTAAGAATAAAAAAAACTAAACAGACTTTACAAAGTACCTGTACAATCCTGTATTAAGATTGATTCCATTGGTAACGGTAATGAATTAAATGACCACAGTATGACCGTCCACGTTGCGTTACTCATTTCCCTTATTGTCGTATCATTTATTCTCAGTGTAAACGCAGCTTCAATGTGCGATCTTGAGGGGATAGCAAAAGAGACACTGTCGAAAACTTTGATCTGTGAACAGTGAAACGAGGTGCGATTTTGACCGGGAAAGTAGTTCGGATACAGTCCAAATGATAAACAATCAGGAACTCGTATGTTTAATCCAGAACCATGATGCACCCGTTCACCATCGGGCTTGAAATTCCATTCTACCACCCCGAATGTTTCATTTCCTGAGTAAGTTGCGTTGAGGATCAGTGCGTCCCCTTCATGATAACACCACTGGTCTGCTGTCAGGGATATGTTTTGACACCAAACTGTAAAAATATATTATCCTTTCCGAAATGGACTTGTCCATATTTTCAATTTGGACAAAAAAATACATATTTTCCTCTAAAATCTTAAAAATAAAATACGGCCTTAAAAGCAAAGCAGACCATAATCACACAAAATGATCCGGCCATCCGATCTTGGTCGTATGTCTTTACATTATATGTAATAACAGTGTTTCATTATAACATTATTACATTATATGATCATTTTTGTCAGAATATTCGCAGCATTTTTAAAAATGCCGTAAAAACGTATCAAGATCTCATCTCGTTTAAGGCGGAGATAATAACAAATTCTGGTATAGGTCATGTACATATTTGCTCTACTTACGTGGCTTGGTTTACATATTCACGTACCATCAATCAAACAAAATTGATCTTTGTAATATTCTTTGTATATCTTATATACTATTAAAGTTGGTCCATGCGATTCACAAATGTGAATATAATAAGAGAAAAGACACAGGTGTGTTCTAGTCAGTTTTATTATCTGGACTGATGCATTGGCGGGAAATCTCCCAGGATATAACATTCTACAGGCACAACGTGGTCAGTGGAAATTTACAGAAATGAGTATTAAGGTTAAAGGTCATATGAATATAAAATAACTCAATATCATTACATTTCCCTCTTTTTAAATACATATAGCTGAATGGTATCCACATTAATAAATCATAAATGAATATGGTTCAATTTAAAATAACGTTAGAATAACACATGTTTAAATATCAATTAAGTAATCAGTTTATATAAACAAATATATGTTTATCAAACAATGTATGTGTTTATTCCAGTTTATATATATTTTTCTTTATAGTTTATTTTTTTGTTTGTGATGTTTTCTTATTAGTAAACACTCAGTATTTTTTTTTCTTTCAATTGTTTACCATGTTCTCATTATAATATCGTTTGTGTTCAATTTCACTTCCCTGCCTGATCGTGTGTGATAATAGTGGTCAATTGGGCTGGGCTTATTGGAGGTCAATGAGTGGTCAGCATCATGTGATTCTGAAATTTTTTCCATTAATTGAGGGAGTGATAGGGTTATTAGCCAAAATGTTGGGGGAAAATTCCTGAATTTCTGGGAAAGTTTCTTCAGTTTTATTAAGCATTCGCCTATTTCTGCGGTAAATGCCACCTGCATGAGTTATTACAGAGTAGGGATCGGTCATTGTGAATTTTTATCACTTTTGCTGGTTCCCATGTTTTGTTGACCTTGATGCGGACATACTCCTTAAGTGTAAGAAGGGGTAGTTGCTTTGATGTTTTATCATAGCAACTTTTTTGTTTCTGCTTTATTTTTTGCATCTTTTCGCGTACCTGTTTACAATTTACTGTTTTGGGTTGTAACTGAGAATTTGTGGTAGGTAGAATAGATTTAGTTCTTCTACCCATTAGTAATTGATTTGGGGAGAAGCCACATTCAAGAGGGGTGTTTCTGTACTCAAGTATCGCGAGATAAGGATCTCGGTTACTCTCCTGAGCTTTCCTGAATATCCGTTTAATAATCGACACTGTTTTTTTTCGGCCAATCCATTACTGTTAGGGTGGAGTGGGCTGGATGTTATGTGGGAAAACCCCCCAATCTTTTTGCAAAATCTGAAAATATTTCAGAAGAGAATTGTGGCCCATTATCAGTGACAAGTTTGTCACAAATGCCATACCTTGCTAAGTGAACTTTTAGCTTTCTAATTATAGTAATGCTTTGTGTGTTAGGTAGAGCATCTACCTCAAAGTATCTACTATAGTAGTCGACAGTCAGCAAGTAGTCCTTACTGTCAAAGGAGAAGAGATCAGGCGGCAATGTTTTGCCAAGGTCCGGTCCGGCACGTCGTGGGGAGTTAATGGTTCTTTTTGCGTTGGAAATACCTGTACTTTTGACATAAAGCACATTTTAAAACATGATTTGTGATTTCTTTTGTCATACCAGGCCAAAACATTACGTCTTTAGCCCTTTGTAAACATTTTTCTACACCCATGTGACCTTGGTGCACTGATTCAATCACCTGTTTTCTTGCAGAGACAGGTATGACGATTCTCTGTCCTCTGAATATAAGGTCATTTACAGACGACAATTCGTCCCTGTGGTTCCAGAACTCAATTATTTCTTGTTTACAATCTGCACGTGAAACTGGCCATCCGTCAATAATAGTTCTCTTCAAGAATCTGCATGCTCGTGTCATTTTGAGTTTCATGCCTGATTGATTCCAGTCTGTTATCGGTTATGTGTAACCCTTTCAACACTGTATGTACATGTAAGTCGAGACCCTCTAATTGTAATGTCTCTGGAAGCGGTTGTCTAGAAAGTAAGTCACTGATTGGTACTGTTTTCCAGGAACGTGGCGTACGTCAAGGTCATATTTTGATAACTGTAACCGCATTTCTTTGAAGTCTCGGTGGACATGCAGACAAACTTTTCAACATGATTGAGCTAATAGGTTTGTTGTCGCAGTGTACAATTACATGTCTACCGTATACATACTGATGGAAGCGCGTGCAACCAAACAGTATTGCTAACATCTCTCTTTCTATGTTAGCATAATTAGATTCAGTCTCTGTCAATGTCCTAGAAGCGAAGGCAACTGGGCGGCCATTTTGGATGATGGCTGAGCCGACCCCACGCATCGAAGAGTCAGATTCAAGAGTTACACTCTGTTTCGGGTCAAAATATGCAAGAACAGGGGTACTTGTGATTATGTTTTTCATTTTCGTGAATGCTTCTGTCTGGGAAAAGTCCCAAACAAATTCTACATCTTTCAGAACAGAACAGAACAGAACATATACTTTATTTCTGACTTGGGCTCAACACCCATCATCATAACATACATATACATGTATAATTATTACAATGCATGCGTCAAGAATCATATCATAACAAATTCAATCAGTCATATTCAAATATTATGACATAGCTAACATATTGATTGAGAATGCCAAAAATAAATTTCTACATTAATAATATCATATTGATATGCTAATCTACCAAATTATCTCGTCTTTCAAATGCTTTAATACAAAATAATGCTAATTTTCTAATAACCAATTTTCTATCTGCGTTTAACAATTGTATGAATTTATAAACACTAGGATTAACAGTAAAGTATCTTGAAATGTACATACTTCTAAAATCACTATAAATTGGACATATTAATATAAAATGAAATTCATCCTCTATATCCCCCGGACGTACATAATGTGCATTTTCTCTGACTTCTTTCAATACCCCTGTGTCTTCCAGATTCAATAAGTAGTTTATGGGAACTTAATCTAATTTTTGCAAGAACTGATCTGTATTTTGCATTTTCTAATAATTTTAAGATAAATAGACCTTTCATATTTAACTTTAACATTTGAATACAATTGCAAGGAAGAGCATAACGCCATGTCTGCTCGCCATTGGGTTACATATATATCCCTGAGACGTGATCTGAATACTGGTATAAAATTTTAATATTAACCGATTCTGGATATAACCATACTTCGGCAAATCCAGCGTTTTGTAACATGTCTCGAACTTTTGATGACCAGTTGACAACATTTGAGTTATTTGATATATCATTTCTTTGAGAACTTAGAATAGTTGTTAAAATACAGTTTTGACTCTTATCGCCGTGTAACTTTAACCAATATTTTGCTATCCTAACATATCTTTCAATATACAGAGGAAATCTACCTAGTTCAGAATACAATGATAGAGTGTTTTGTTGACATTTTAACATTTAATAACCATTTACAAAATTTTCTTTGCACACGTTCAATATTTTCTGCTTTATTAAAGCCCCATACTTCACAATTATAATTCAAAATAGATAAAACATACGCATCGAACAAATTGAACATTATTTCTATAGATATATCTAACCTTTTTGTAATGTTAAGTAAAGAGTTCATTGCCCTTAAGCCTTTTCCACTAAGGGTATTTGTTGCTGGTACAAATGAACCGCCACTAGAAAATACAATTCCTAAATAATTGAAGTTTTGAACAATTTCTATATCATTTCCGTCATATTGACCATTTGAACTCTCTACTTAATTGACCGCCTTTTCTAAAAACAACAATTTTAGTTTTATCAACATTTACAGTTAAACTCCATTTTTTGCAATACAATTGTAAATTATTTATATTGTTTTTGTAGACCTTCTTTGGATTCAGAAAAAAGAACGGCATCATCCGCAAACAACAACAAATACATAGATATCTGGTCTAGTGTAATGCAAGCATTTGGGTCTTCTTGTAAAAACATTTCAATATCATTCAAAAATATAGAGAACATGATCGGCGAGGTGATCTCCCCTTGAAAGAGACCTACATCACAGCTGAAAAAATCTGACAAACTATTTAAATGTCTTACACAAAGTTTAACATCTTCGTACATTGACCGTATAATAGAGAACAGTTTTCCGTCCACCCCGGTCTTTATGAGCTTATACAAAGGTAATTTCTGTCAATTAAGTCATACGCCTTTTTATAATCCACAAAACAACAAAAGAGCTTATTTTTCGTTCTAAATTGTCTTTCTATTAAAGCATTTAATATAAAAATAGGATCAATAGTACCGTAATTCGGTTTAAAACCGAATTGTGCGTCTGTCAAAGTTTCTGTGTTTTCAGCCCAACGTTTCAATCGTTCATTTATGATAACTGTAAACAATTTAGCAAAAAACAGCTGATCAATGTTATTCCTCTATAATTATTCGGGTCAGACGAATCACCTTTTTTATATATTGGTATTATTACTCCTGTTGACCAGCTACGAGGAAACACTTTTGTATTTAATATGTGGTTAAACAATAATTCAATTGAACGTGCCGTTACAAATACACTTTCTTTGAAATATTCATATAGGATATTGTCTAATGAACACGCCTTATTACAACCGAGTTTCTTGGTGGCGGATATTATTTCCTCTTTTGTGATTGGTTGATCCAGTTCAGCGAAGGAACTTCCATAGGAGTCTGGGGCTGTATCAAATTGCGACAAAAAGTCATTACATTCCATATTTTCACTAAGCATTGTATTAGAAGACAAGTTTTTGAAATGATCATAAAATTCTTCAACAGTTATATTTTCACCATTTGGATTTGAAGATTTCTTTTTAAATGTTTTCCAAAACTCTCGTGGATTTTTTCTTCTCATATCATTCATTTTTTTACCAACATTTTTATTAAAAGCTTCTTTTATGCTTTTTACAAGTGTTTTTGTAATCACGTTTCTTTTCATGCAGGGTATTTCTAGTGCTTTCGTTTTTTTCTAAATTATAGTCATACATTGCCTGTAAATAACTTTCTCTCTTTAATTTACATTCATCACTAAACCATTTTCTTCAGATTTGAGTCATTATGCACAAAATAATTATTTCGTGCAACTGATTTAGTTTTCAAAGTACTGTTTGCTTTATCGTTTAAAAAAGTCCGTGAAAGTCTTAGTTAATGTATCGGTACTATCTCCGTTGTTTATTTGCTCTTGTAAAATAGTTTCTATGTTTTGTATATCATTTGATACGTCATTTATAAATGCATCCCTTTGTGATGGTTTCCATTTATAAGAAATAGTTGGCTCCTTTTTTATCGTACTTGGAATCGAGTTAACTTTGAATGAAAATGACATCGGGGCATGGTTAGAAAATTCATTGAAATCATGCACATAAAAATCGGCTAAATCTTGAAAGTTTAACTGTGACGTCACCAGAATAATCGACCACGCTTTCCCCGTTATATGTCATACAGGTAAATTTGCCTATGCCTTTATCTCTATACAATCTACCATTAACTACCCGAAAATTGGTTGATTTACAAAGGTCAAGTAAACGATCGCCAAAGCGATTTGAACCAAAATCACAAGAAGTCCGTGGCAAATATGGGTCAATCGTATAAATATCTGTTTGTCCTATATGTCTATCATATGTTATATAATCACTTTTCTGGCCAATGCGCGAAATTAGTGTCTCCAGTAATGAATATTTTTCCTTTATTGCTAAATATATTTATATCATTTTCAATGTGCCTGTAAATATCTTCATCGTACCTATCATGAATCGGGGAATGTTCTGGTGCAATGTATACAACTGCTAAATAAATGTCATTTTCTATGTGAAAGAACGATTTATCAAATTTCAACCATACCAGACAATCAATGTCATTTTTAACCATTTTAACACCTTTTCTTATGGAATTTTTTATATATATGATAAGTCCACCGCTGGAGCGCTTAGCACGTCTATGCTGAAATCGTCTATAAGAATGAATCGGTTTGTCATATCCATTAAGATCAATAACTGAGCTTTTATTCGTCCAAGACTCACTTAAACATATAACATCATTTTCACTTATAATTCCAATAAATTCGTTTGATGATCGCTTAACTTTAGAAAGTCCCTCAACATTCCATGATAAACACTTGATGACACTCTCTCGTGACTCCTAATCATGTCCACGGTATAGCTGCTTATTAATGTACAATTTATCTACTTTAATATACGCCTCTTTTCCTTCATCACGGGCCTTTTTTCATGATTGGTACCAGTTTTCGCCTTGTTTCCATAATCTCCCTAGGAAATTGCTCTGCGACACCAAAGTGCGTACCTGATAAGGTTTTTGCGGAAGCTCTAACTCTTTCTCGGTCCGGAAAATATGCAAATTTAGCAACAATTGGGCGAACTTTGGTGCTTCTGTACACGCCAAGTCTATGAGCTCGATGCAGTTTTATATTTTCTTTGGCGTCCAATATTTTCATCTCCTTTTCAATAAAGTTAAGAACTTTCTGCTCGCAGTTTTCATCTTTTTCTTCAGGCAAATTAAAAAACAACAAGTTGTCCCTCATGCTTCGACATTTTATATCTGTAATTTCGTCCCGTAACTCTAACTCCTTTTCCCGTGAATCCTTTTCGGACTTTTTCATCGACTTTAGAACAAATTATTCCTGTTTGTATAAAAATAAAAGAAAATAAACAGACTTTACAAACTACCTTTACAATCCTGTATTAAGATTGATTCCATTGGTAACGGTAATGAATTAAATGACCACAGTATGACCGTCCATGTTGCGTTACTCATTTCCCTTATTGTCGTATCATTTATTCTCAGTGTAAACGCAGCTTCAATGTGCGATCTTGAGGGTATAGCAAAAGAGACGCTGTCGAAAACTTTGATCTGTGAACAGTGAAACGAGGTGCGATTTTGACCGGGAAAGTAGTTTGGGTACAGTCCAAATGAGAAACAATCAGGAACGCGTATGTTTAATCCAGAACCATGATGTGCCCGTTCACCGTCTGGCTTGAAATTCCATTCTACCATCCCTAATGTTTCATTTCCTGAGTAAGTTGCGTTGAGGATCAGTGCGTCCCCTTCATGATAGCACCACTGGTCTGCAGTCAGGGAAATGTTTTGACACCAGACTGTAAAAATATATTATCCTTTCCGAAATGGACTTGTCCATATTTCAATTTGGACAAAAAAATACATATTTTCCTCTAAAATCTTAAAATAAAATACGGCCTTAAAAGCAAAGCAGACCATAATCACACAAAATGATCCGGCCATCCGATCTTGGTCGTATGTCTTTACATTATATGTAATAACAGTGTTTCATTATAACATTATTACATTATATGATCATTTTTGTCAGAATATTCGCAGCATTTTTAAAAATGCCGTAAAAACGTATCAAGATCTCATCTCGTTTAAGGCGGAGATAATAACAAATTCTGGTATAGGTCATGTACATATTTGCTCTACTTACGTGGCTTGGTTTACATATACACGTACCATCAATCAAACAAAATTGATCTTGATATTGACATATCAAATACAAATATTCAAAATGAATTAAAAAATAATCATTGTTTTTTTATTCAAACAATATATCCTAATCTGGAGAAAGTCTGCTTTAACGCATGCGCGTGAATCTAAAAACTGATACAAATGATGAATATCTAATGCCTTAATTAACTATTGAGACTTAAACGGTATTTATAATAGAACAGAAATAAAGAAGATACAATTCATCACTCTTTACCATATGGACTTTAATCAAACTAACGAGAGATTTAAAAAGTTGACATGAAAATAACGACGCATAGATTACATATTGTTTTATGTAGCCATTTAGACTTGTAATAGCTTATTCAATTATTTATACTTTTAAGAGCTTATTCAATTATTTAGACTTATAATTGTTTATTCAATTACTTAATTACATGTAACTAACCTATAGTCTTTTGGCGGAAATCGACTCTAAACAAGCGTCCGATGCAGACCAAGACTCTGACTTCAAAGTGCACATCAAATGCACATTGAAGTGCACTAGAAGTGCACATCTAGTGTATTCAAAGTGCACTTTGTGTAAACTTTAGTGTGAACTCAACTGTAACTAAAACTTATCAGGGTCTTTCAAATTGAAAGACCATGCTCTTATAGTATGGCGAAAATCGATTCTAAAAAAGCGACCGGTGCAAACCAAGGTTCAGTCTACACTGGCCGCTATTCAGTCAGCACGTGTGTATAATATCTGAAAAACCATCCATAAAACATGTCCAGATCGAAAGACGGACAAGTCCACCTGCAAAGCTTTAATAAGAAGGTTGTTTTAACATAATATATTAATTCTTCCTTACCGTGCAGTGTATATTCAAGAAGTAATAAAATGTAGACCTTGTACATAATCGGAACTGCTTGATAAAGGATCTTATCATGAAATAGGCCTAATTATGTCTACGTTGGGTCACATAAGCTTAAAGGAGCAATGAAAATGTATGTAAACAGGGAACACATATATATTGTTATGGCATTTTTGCAAAAAGGATCGGGAGAGAAGATATTGTTCTCACATTATGGGGCAGTCTAAAATTAAAGTACTGATTTTGGCGGGAAAACACTTCACAGAGTGTCAATCTACAATTCTACCTAATGCAGATATTATTATCTCACTATGTTTCATTATGTATTCCCTTCAAACATACCTTAAATTATGACCAGGTCATTATGTATGGACAGAGAATATATCTACATGTATATAGCTTTACGTACGACGACTAAAATAGCATTTTGACCGTTCCCTTTTTTGTATTAAAGCAGAATCCATGGAGTCTGAAACACATTAAATTTAAACTAACGTTTCTAGAAAAGTACACAAAATAAAATTTCTCGTATTAGATCTAATTATTATATTCAAAAGTAATTAATCATTGATAGAATCTACTAGATCTATATTAATTAAATTATTATTCATATTATCAGTTATAATTAATAAATTATTTACATTTTGTTAGTTTGTTGTTTAATTTTTTATTGTTTTTCTTTTTGTATAAAAGAAGAACCCGTTTCTGCTAGAGCTGCGGTAACACGTGATGATATTCTTGCTGCGTTGCCCGGAAAGAATAGCCCGCATGGTGCGCTGAAAATTTACTCGAGTGGAAATTAAGTATAACACCGATGTCGTACTTACTTTAAGAAGTTGCATCAGGATAAATAAATCGGCATATTTGACTTACAAGTGACTAAAAAAAGGTATATTACGTTACGTTTAAATAACACTAAAATCTCTGATTTGTAGTACATTTGTTCTTTTGTCTTATCTTTTAAGAAAAGATTAATTTATCCTACACCAACATAAAATTTCCAATTTATATTCGTCCTAATAATTTTCGTAATATAACTCAATACGTTAATTATCAATGATAAATATACTATTTGTCGCTAAAATGTGATTATATGCCAAAGGTAAATAATGACTTTCTAAAACTGTTTTATTATATATAATATCTGCGTTAATAATTGGTAAATTAACATTTTAATATTTGCTACTTTTTTTCTGTTTTCAATCACCATATCACAGAAGGATTTGTTAGAAAATATTTAAAGAAGGTTTTTTTTTTGCAAAAGGTTGTTTGTGCATAATTTATTGGCATGACTGTCAAATTACTGAAAATATTGATTGTGTTGTAGAACAATGGAGTTTCAACCAGTGGTTCTGGCGGCTGGTCGAGGGTCTAGGATGACAGATCTTACATCACAGGTACCCAAAGCTCTACTGCCAATAGGAAATATGCCAATGTTATGGTATCCAATAAATACCTTACAACGAGCAGGCTTTGAAGGTAAATTCAATAAATATTTATAAAAAGGGAAAGAATTAAAAGATTTATTAAAATTTTAAATAAAGTTAAATAAATTTCATTCTTTCTCTTTTGCCTGGGGCTTAACGAAATTTCTCATGCAACGGGGCAACCAAGACAAAAAATTGTGAATAGATTTAAAGATTTTTTAATTTTTTTAAATTATTTTTTTTCAAAATTAGGCTTTTTTTTTACTTAATTAGAATAATATTTTATTGGAGGAAAACCTGCTTTTGTTACAAATTCCCTTCACTAGTTTTGAATCATTTTTAAATTTCATGGCTTCAGATTGCTTGGATTCTTATATACAATTTTTAGCTTGTATAAATCCAAAATACTTTTTTTTCAGAGGCTATTGTGATAGTGTTAGACTCGTACTGTGCTGAAGCACAAAAGTTATTGGTGGAGATTTGTGATGTTAAAATGAGATTGGACTTTGTGAGTATACCTGATCAGGATTATATGGGAACTGCAGACTCTCTAAGATACATAAAGGACAAAATAAAGGTAATTTCGGGGCTTCAATTAGTGGAAGTTTATTTGTCATTTTACTCGTTACAGTTTGGCTTGTGACTTCCAAAATATAACCCTTTTCCTTCTTTATCAGTATCTATATAATGTTACTTCCAGTGTTTGACATTTTGCAGTCTCTGACAACTTAATTGAATCCCTGTAATTTATACATTTATAAAATTTGAAATATTTGTGATGTGATATAATCATAATGACAGACTGAGAGATTTCAGTGGTAAAATGTTTTGGGTAACTGACTTAAAATCAGGTACACATTACATCAGCATATTAATATACCTGAAGAAAGAACTCTTTCCTTATATATGATGAAGCTATTTCATTCCCACCTGGTGCAGGTGCATAGATGTGTTAATTTTTGCCATTGATAATACATACAGGGCCCTAAAGTCTTATTTAAACCTTAGCCACCAAAGCCGCTATATATTCTAAACAGTTTTGGTTATGTGACTCAATACTCAGTAAGAAAGAGGTGAAAAAGGAAACAATGGTAAGCTCAATATACTTTAGTATGATGTACCGGTATGCCATATAAAGATGATATGTTTTCAATTTCAGAGAGACATCTTGTTGATCAGTTGTGATTTGATAATGGACATTAGTTTACATCACATTGCCAACATCTTCAGAACATATGATGCCACTATTACTATGCTGCTGTGTAGCACACCAGAACAGACCTCAGAAATACCGGTCCCTGGTCCAAAATCGAAGAAAAGATCTGGTAAAGACTTATTAGAAATTCCTGTTCTAGATAAGCCCACCTGCTTAGCTCAATAGGGAGAGCATCAGAATGGTATTGCAGGGGTGGCTGGTTTGATCCTCAAGTATGGCAAAATTTCTCTGTTGAAATTTTTATTTGGACATTGCACCAAATGATCACTTGGGGAAATATTAATGGTTACTGGTTAGTAAACAAGGAAAGCCAGTCAGGTTGAAAAGTTATGGAGATTTGATCAAACCAAGTGTTTAAATTGGCATGAAAAAATAGAAAATCATTCCAAGTATCAATTGTTTTTGGAATCACGATTGAGGGTTGTCTCAGGTTTCACCAGTAAAGCTAAAAAGTTGATGTTACCTTTGTAGTGTTGGTATGAAAAACAATTATGCTACACTGATTCTTAGACTGGTTAAGTCATTACCACCTTTGTATAATATTACTATAAGGTCTTACAGTTGTGTTTATGTTTACTATTAAGTTTGAAAAAAATATATGAGCCGCGTCACGACAAAACCAGCATAGTGTGTTTGCGACCAGCATGGATCCAGACCAGCTTGCGCATCCGCACAGTCTGATCAGGATCCATGCTGTTCGCTTACCAACCCTATTACATGTAAAGAAACTGATAGCGAACAGCATGGATCCTGATCAGACTGCGCGGATGCGCAGGCTGGTCTGGATCCATGCTGGTCGCAAACGCAGTATGTTGGTTTTGTCGTGACGCAGCTCATGTATAATTTTACATTCATTTCAGAGCGAGATTTTATAGGTTTTGATGAGAAAGGTAACAGGGTTTTGTTCATGACATCTGAGGCTGATCTCACAGATATGGATGATGATAAAATCAAATTTAGAAAATCTTTATTTAAAAAGTAAGATTTTTTTTTTCAATTCTAAAAGCTGGTGATAAAGCATAAAAGTATTTCTTATTTTTACTTGTAATGCTTGAAAGTCTTCATGTAATTATTGTTTGTAATATTTTAGATTGGCATAATGATATATTGATATATTCTGATTGCACAGTCTTCTAAATTGCGGATTTAAATACGAGTGTGACATTTAACAGTTTAGTTTGCTGAAGATTATGTATACATTTTAATATTTTAAAAGTTGTATGCTCAACTCTAAACCACTTATTTAACTATTATGTATTGTTATTTGGCTATAATTTTAAATTATGTCTCTTAACTATAAAGATGTAATATTATTCATATTTGAATATGTCAATAAGTATATAAATTCTTACTAATCTTAAATTTTCTTGTTGATCTTTCGATATGGAGAAAAAAAAACATTTATCATTTTTTAAGTATTTTGGAAAAGTTGAAAATAATACTGACTGAATAGCAAAAATAGCAGAACTTGATTTGATGGCAAGAATGTTCTGGCGGATCTTAGTCGGCGCTGATTGCATGGGTAAAATCAGATACAGATGACACTAAAAATCTGTTTTGTTCAACTGTATTTTCAAGTTTTTGTTTTGTAGGCACCCTAATGTAAATATTAGGTCCAATTTAACAGACTGTCACCTTTATCTCATGAAGAAGTGGGTGATAAACTATTTAGCTGATAATAAGTAAGTATACAGTACACAAGTGTACATTTATTTTTGGTCAAATATTACTTTATAAAACAACATAATTAGGACAAAATTACAGAGGTTATTTTATGATAAGATAACTGTGTGAAATATCCTAAAACATGTTATAAAACGCCGTTTTCCTTTCTCTCTTTATGTTATCGGCAACCCGTCTACTTTTGAAAAAAAATTTAATCTTTTGTAGATGGTACTTGCTAGATTCAAAGGAAAATGATAAAATGATTAGGGGACAAAAAAAAAAAACACGGTTAAAATTGCTAAAGTACCTTAAATCCTGCAAAGTAAAGTCAAAGTTCCTCAATAGAGAGAATGAGAAATTAAATTATGTAGTTGTTTATGTATAAACTTGTGAGTCAGACAAAGCAAAACAAAAAGAGTCAAATATGCTATTCTGATAGTAAAATTTAATACTTTTATGTATGCAGAATATGCTTAAAATATAGCAGCCATTGAATCAATCATGGTTTTCTTATAAACTAATCAGTTCTAATGGATTTATTTTGTTTTTTACAGACAAATATCTTCATTGAAAGGGGAGTTAATTCCACATCTTGTGAAGAAACAGTTTGCTAGAAGAAAAAAGAAAGACATACCAAACACAAATGAATCTATTATTTCAGAAGATGTTAAGTCAGGTTAGTTAAAGCCTTACAGAAGTAACTGGATAAGTTTATGATTTTACTCTGCAACACAAAAACATATACTTGA